TACTTCCTACATTAAACCTTCAAAATAAGAGTCTTAACAAAAAGTATAAATAATACAAAATAAAACCTATAAATTAAAACTTTGGCAGTAAAAGTATGTATTTTATGTATTGTAACTATATATATATGAACTAGCAATGTAGGTAGCTAATTTACATTTAAATACTATAAAAATACTATAATGAAGACTTAGAAATATATTTTGTTTTTATATTTCTATATCATATATCACCGACACGGCGCTGGAATTGAAAAATTCAGGGCTTCAAGGAAAAGAATAACGAAGATGCCCGCAAAGAAAATCACAGACATCTCAATGAGATCGCAAAGCTCTGGGCCTCGTCTACTGACAACGCAGTGGACGTCGCGCGTCGTCTTTTGTTTTCTAACATTTAGAAACATCGGCCGAATTAATAAATAAGGCTGTCTCAAATGGCAATGTTAATAATCTCGTTATTTGGTTGGAGGTCAGTTGTTCTGGATTCAGTTTAAGAGAGTCGGTGCTTCATTCTGACCTTTTCCTGAACGCCAGAGGTTCAGTTTCCTTCTCTTCATTTTTTCTGAATCTTCCCTTTAAATGTTAGGGGTTGGAGAGATGGTATTAAAAGAAAGGCAATATTTATGTTTTTGTAAAAATGCTAAAGCGAACTGCATAGTTTTTACAAGAAACTCACTGATGAGGCTGATGAGAGCTTCTGGTCCAATCAATGGAGAGGAAAAGTTATTGAGTGCAGAGGGCCTACATTCAAAGACTCTGTTCAGGCGGTCGATGACGTCAATGGGTGACGTAAATGACGTCACCCACTGACGTCATTAACATTGAAGGATCCTTGAATGAGTATCCCATTTAAGGATGACGTCACCAGTGACCAGCTGAGCCAATCAGAAGCAGGTGACCACCCACTGCCCATTAACTACAGGGATTGAATACTTAGTTGCTTTTTTTTTTCTTTTTAATTATTAAACACTTTGAACCATTTTACAAGATCACGTGTCATGCACTTAAGTAATAAAATCTTACAGGCTAAAGACACACACATCATTTTAAGACAATAACATCATAAAAAAAATGTCCAATAAAAATAAATGAATAAAATGTGGAATACTTTCCATTTTGGTAAAAGGAGAATTTAAGGTTCTCCACACATAAGGTCACATATAAAATACATACTTATATAATGTATAAGTTATTAATGACTTATTTTAACTGAGATGAGTCGCTTTGAAAATAATTCAACTTCAAGACTAAAAAGGAACCAACTAAGTATTCAAATGCTATAGTTAATGAGCAGTGGGCGGTCGCCTGCTCCTGATTGGCTCAGCTGTTCACTAGTCACGCTTTTCTTGAATGGAAAACTCCCACCCAGAATCAACGTCACCCATTGGCGTCATTGACCGCCTGAACAGAGTCTTTGAATGTAGACCCTCTGCGCTCATTTGGTCACTAACCATTTGCTTTGTCTTTCAGGTAAAAACTTAAAAAACACTAAAAACCTTAAAGATAGGATAGGTTATCCTTTCTTAAATGATCAAGCATCGATATGCAGGATCAACAGATCATGTTTAGTCCGGGTCTTTATTTACAGTCATGTATGTAAAGGAGGATGATATTTGCTCCCTTGACTCTGGTTCTGATCCGCTGCTCCCTAAACAACCGGACACTTTTTATACTTTTTCTTCCTCCCAGCATCTAAACGTTGCTTTCTACTGCAGTATTTTTCAACCTTTTTTGAGCCTAGGTACATTGTTTTCATTGAAAGAATCAAGAGGCACACCACCAACCAAAAATCTAAACAAATGAAAATAATAAATAATAATATATGGTCGTTCTTATCAAAGTGTCTTGAATAGGAATTTGTATCATATTTTATATTAGATATTTCAAATTGCACTTAACATGTCTACTTCAAAAGTGCGCCTGATCAGTGGCACAACAATTTAAATTTAAGACCACATTGTTCACACGACTAATTCTGACCACAAGCAATCTCTCAGCCAGAATATAGAAAATAATTCCTTTTCTTGGAGAAGCAATAATATTTGGAAAATAAAAAGCTCACGGTATTTGCCTTCCGTTGATATTCACTCATGCTAAGTTCTTCATCTGGGTCTGAATTTAGCTGTTTTCTTTTCAAAAACTTTTCCATCACTGTCATCACAGTCTTGCTTGGTACAATGCTCTCACCGCTTCCTGTCACATTCATGCATCACTAATTCTCTTGTTTTAACGTACAGTGCTGTGTACCTACTGCCATCCTGTCATCAGGAAATTACATGATGACGCCGCTAGTCACTATACAACACAGACTCTCGGAAATGGCATATTATTTGCAGTCAATTTGTTTTCAAAAAATCGTTTTAGACCAATTTAGTGAAATTGAATAATTTCCACGGGACACTAGTTGAAAAACACTGTTCTACTGCAACGTGTAGATATGTATAAATATATATATTGAAAACATCATAGTAATTTTTTTATCCAGTCTTTGAATGTAGGTTATCTCCGATAATTTAGTCACTTTCTGTTTTCTTTCTCGTATCTATATTTGTATTTGCAATAAACTAAATATTCTATCGTATCTAATGCAGTTTATTAAATTGACCACTGCAGGAATTATGAACAGTCTTAAAATAAGCCGAAATAAATTTGACAACAATGTCAATGTCACAGTCAATCTAAGAAGAAAACGAACTCTGCCCAGATTTGAAAATATTTTACTTGGAATATAGAACCATAAATCCTTTTAATTTAAAAAAAAGACCGAAGCCAATTTATTTTTAAAGTGTCGTTCGTTCAATCAAATTGAAAAGCTTGCAGTCGTCCATTTTCAAACTGATTACATTACATTTTCTTATTAAGTGAGATTTATGTTTCCATAGAAAAATAATAATCCTGTTGTTGGAATTAATTGCAGAAATGTGTATTCCTAATGTATGTGCAGTGTAGGTAAATCTGGAAATACTTTCCATTTTGGTGAAAAATATTCTACGCAGAATAGATAAATCTCTGCTATTACAGGCCCAACCTTTCCTAGGGGGCAGTAGAGAGCAACGTGTGGACGCTGCAGCGAGCAGAACCGATACGAGTTTGTTTCCAGAGTCCAGTGATCAAATATCATCCTCCTTTACATACATGACTGTAAATAAAGACCCGGACTAAACATGATCTGTTGATCCTGCATATCGATGCTTGATCGTTTAAGAAAGGATAACCTATCCTATCTTTAAGGTTTTTAGTGTTTTTTTAAGTTTTTACCTGAAAGACAAAGCAAATGGTTAGTGACCAAATGAGCGCAGAGGGTCTACATTCAAAGACTCTGTTCAGGCGGTCAATGACGCCAATCGGTGACGTTGATTCTGGGTTGGAGTTTTCCATTCAAGGAAAACGTGACCAGTGAACAGCTGAGCCAATCAGGAGCAGGCGACCGCCCACTGCTCATTAACTATAGCATTTGAATACTTAGTTGGTTCCTTTTAGTCTTGAAGTTGAAATATTTTCAAAGTGACTCATCTCAGTTAAATTAAGTCCTTCACAGCGTCTTCATCACATAAATATGAATTTTATGTCTCTCAGGTCTCTAAGGTAATTGAAATTTAAAATATGCAAAATTATTTGTCTATTTCCTTTTATAGACATGCATAAATACAGATGTTTGAATGACAGCTTTGAAGATGTCTGGGCATACTTAAATTTATTTTTATGTCACATGTATCGTAAAGCTGTATGTTTTGTTTGTTTGGTGTATATCTTTTTAATTTTAGTCATGCTGCAGTTTAGAGGAGCATCATCGGGGTCAACGGGGTCTGCAGCCATACCTCCTTGCTGTTGGGCGTCAGAAAAGCAAGATTGACAGATTCTACATCGTCATGGATAAGTGCCTCATCCCATGCCAGACAAACAGTTCTCTTGGAGCATTTGATGAGCTATTCAAAGCACATTTTGTGTTTAATTTCTCTTATGATGCTGCATTGATGAATTTCTACACATTTCTGCAGACAACAGTGTATAACATTGACGTGGGCAAAATGAAGGAATCGCTCAGAGTTAGGGACGTGAGAGCAAGGCTGCTAAACCAGTCCATTGCGCTCTCTTGCACTGTAAAAAAGGAACCTCAGGGGTTATCACATTAACAAAAGAATATCATGTACTGTTAACTAAATAATTCCATGTTTGAGCCAAAAACATGATACAATCATGTTGCATAAACAAGATATTCCACAACTTCAACGTTTATAAAATTGAATCATGTTGAGCGAACATGATTCATTATAGTCAGACCGATCCTATGCTGAAGACCACGAGTGAGATCACGGGATATCACGCAAGTTCACGCGAGAATACGCGAGACAATCGGTTTTCTCTCGCAAATGGAATAAAATGTATTCAAGGTGAGATAACGTGATTCAATTACGTCAGCTAGATCTTCCGCCAAAAAAAAGAACGTCGGGGCGTATTACATTAACAAAAAAATATCATGTACCTTTCACACAATAATGTTGGGTTTGAAGCGAAAACGTGATAAAATCATGTTGGATAAACAAGATATTCCACGACTTCACATTTATAAAATTGAATCATGTTGAGCTAACATGATTCATTATAGTTAGACTGAGGACAACGAGTGAGATCACGGGATATCACGCGAGAACACGCGAGACAATCGGTTTTTTCTCTCAACTGGACTAACGTGATTGAATGACGTTATCTCAACTTGAATACATCTAATTAACATATATATACCCACCGCGGGTGGTTCTTATCCTCTGAGCTCGGGTCCTCTACCAGAGGCCTGGGAGCTTGAGGGTCCTGCGCAGTATCTTGGCTGTGCCAAAGATATATATATATATATATATATATATATATATATATATATATATATATATATATATATATATATATATATATATTATATATATATATATATATAATATATATATATATATATATATATATATATATAACGTATATATATATATATACGTTTTTTTTTAATTATTTTATTCAATATCAATATTTGTCAAAGTTAATCTAATAAAAAAAAACACAGTGACGTCAGTTCCAAAGCGCTATTGTGTCAGACTCATCTCCCGCTGAAGAGGATCCAGCGACATCAAGAGATTACGGAAAATCACGCGAGATAACTGGCTTGCACCTTGTTGGGTTTTTTCAAGGGCAGAGGGGAGATTCCTGGCGTGCATCTACTTAATTTGAAGAAGGTAAGAGTCAAACTATTTTCATCTAAATCCATATAAAAATATGTAACTTAAAATTTCTCTACCATTTTCTACTTGTTCCATACTTGTGTCACATTATTTCATGTTCTGTAGATTAAGTCGGTTAGGTTAAGGCAGATAGCTTTTTGTTTACATTTATCGCCGCACCATGTTAGGTACATTCTGTGCGAAAAAAGTCTGCAGAGCCATATGTAGTGTAAGGGTCACAAAGCTGCTGCCAGAGACACAAATGGACCCCAGAAATGTCACAGTTTTGCTCCTCCTGAGCTCCCTGGAGGTTTAGTGGATTTTTAACACACGGATCTAACATCAGTCTATTTCTAACTATTTTAATTCTATTTCAGTAATGTTACTATGGAGGTAAATGTAGATACACACACACACTTTGGTACCTTTCTATCATCATCGAGATTCTTAATTAATTATGGTAGTAAAAAGTCCTACATTTCAGTCGGTGAAACCTGCAGAAAGCATTGCTTTCTGAGCTTTGTTAAATGTTCCTAAAATACCTGTTAGTTATGGATTTCTAGTATATTTTGTCAGGTTAAAACTCTCAATGGATTATCCATTATTACAGACTTGAGCTTTCTATTTTTTTTTTCTTTAAAATACATATTCCTCTGCTGTAAAGATGTTGGGGTTTTTTGGACTCTTCTTGTTGTCCCCAAATAATTGTAGCTCAGAAACAATATTGAAGTTCATTGGTAAAATTGGTAAAATTTTGAAATGTTGATGTTTTTTGTGTTGATTGTGCTCATTTTGACCTATGTTACTATTGCTTTCTACCATGTTCAATTCACCATTGTTCTGCACATACGTGTTTGCATGTGTCCAGTGGTTATATTCATGAGGCATTCAAGGGACTTGTACTAAAAGATACAACTCAGTTCAGTATGAATTGCATATTTTAATGGCTGAAAATATATCTGATCTCTTTCAGAACATCACCTGTCTGTAATCCACCTGCGTAAGTACTGGTCAAGGGGCTCATCGGCTATCAAGTTATAGATTTCAGTGGCTAATAGTAAGTTTTGCCAGATCTAAAGTTACTGAATGTAGTGTTAGAGAGCTTATAGAGCTAGAGTTCAGCTAAACATTTATTTGGCCAGTCTGTTTTATTTGTCTTTATTTGCGTGGGGATGTGGAAATGTAAGGAGTGTAGTCTCTCTCTGTCTCGTAGATATGACCTGTTAAAACATTTTACACTTAAACACCGGCATATGCGACGTTATCCATGCCCACACATAGACTGTCCATGTACTTGTAAGACATGGAATGCTTTGCATATTCATTTAAGTAGAAGGATATAGACTGTGTTGACCATTCTGTACTTTTCACATATTTCTTTGGTGATATATTCATGTCTTTATTTAAACCTCTAACAGCTTCAGTTAGATGTTTAAATAAAATGTTAAACTCCATTTTAGTCATGGCATAATGAAGGGATACTAACAATTTTAAATATCTTTCAAATAGACTGCAAGCCACTGATCACTTTTGTTGTCACTTCCTTTGAATGTAGCTATGTTTTCAAGTGTGTGAACCTATACTGCTGGAGTTTTGAGATTGTTCTCATTGTTTTTTGATCTGCATATTTAGGAAGACACTGCTGAGGTCAGACGAGAGTGCATCCTCAAATGTCTGTGTGTACCTAAATGAAGATCCAGAGAAGCTGGTGAGGGAGTACATGGTATGTTAAATTCTCTTTGTGTTTACAATAGAACTCCTAAGAGTTGTTAAAATACTTCACCAACTAAGGTCCATGAGTGACTCAATCAATGTCAGTCTTAATTTATTTACTTAATTACATGTGAATTGTCTCCCCCCCCCAATACCCTTCCCTAACTCCCTTAGGACGTTGATGAATGAAATGGCCAAAGCCGAGACTGTCCTCGGAATCGTCATTTGAGCAGAGGCTGCCGATGCACATCTGGATGTTGGGATTGTCCTGGAGGAGGTGGAAGTTATGAACAGCTTGGGCAGTGTATCTTCTGCAATAGTGATGCTGCTGGGACTAATCTACGCACTAAACTTGAGCTACCCTCAAGTTTAGTGCGTTCAGCACTCAACTTGCTCAGTAACTCAAGCATACCTTTGAAGTAATACAGAAAATAATAATGAAATTGGATGGAAAGAACTTATCAAAGAAAGCACAAGTTCTCAATATGAAACTCGCTGCTAAGTTGAGTAAAGTTTCATATGGAAAATGAGTGTTTAAAGTCTGCAGTAGAAAAGATTTATATTGTTACAGTTCTCTAAGTTGAGCAACTATACTGACATGTTTTATGTTGTAAAGAATTGGCTGGGAAATGAAACTGTAACCTTTTTGTAGTTGTTTTTTTATTTCAATGTCCAACTCAGCTGTGTTTTGTGCTGTGTAAAAAAATGATGTATAACAATTCTGAAAATACAATTGTGTTGTACCTTTTCTAATTGTTGAGTGTTCTTCCTACACTTTCACCTAGTGCTATCTTAAAATGCTTGATTAACGCTTGAAAATATGTCTTTGAATTAACGTCATGAAATAATGGAAAGGATTTCCACATGATTAACTAGCTGTCTTTTAGCATGAAGCATATTTGTTGAGCTAACTTGCTTTTAGTGAGTTGGACCTACTGAATCAGGTAGTGTGAAGGTACCACTGTAAAATAAGGTGGTTTCAACTAGATCGTCTTAATGAAGTTACATCAATGATTTGGTCCTAAACATTGCAGATTAGTTGGGCTGGCTGTATTGCATTACACTGGGTCACGCTATAGTAACTGAGTTAAAGGAACCTTTAAAAACATATGTTGAGCCAACACATTTCATTTGAATTTGAATAACCTTAATGAATGGAGTTGAGCCAACTCATTTGATTTACAATCATCCATTGCATTACCATAATTCTGGTTAAGCCAACATATTTGGTTTAAATTAGAACAACCTTAATGAATTATGTTTTGCCAACTCATTTAATTTATATAAGAATAACCACAATATATTACGTTGAGCCAACATGTTGATTTAGAATCACCCATTGAATCACCATTGTAACAAGTTGAGCCAACACATTTGCTTTACATTGGAATAATCTTAATAAATTAGGTTGACCTAACACATTTGCTTTAAATAGGAGTAACACAAGTACATGGTGCTGAAATAAAGCAAAGTAATCAGGTGGAAATCCTTTCCATAATTTTTTTATGTTCATCCAATGACTTATTTTTTTCTGTGTGGGTCTGAATTTAGCTTTTTTCTTTTCAAAACTTTTCCATCACTGTCATCACAGTTTTGCTTGGTACAATGCTCTCACCGCTTCCTGTCACATTCATGCATCACTAATTCTCTTGTTTTAACGTACAGTGCTGTGTACCTACTGCCATCCTGTCATCAGGAAATTACATGATGACGCCGCTAGTCACTATACAACACAGACTCGGAAATGGCATATTATTTGCAGTCAATTTGTTTTCAAAAAATCGTTTTATACCAATTTAGTGAAATTGAGTGATTTTCACGGGACACTAGTTGAAAAACACTGTTCTGCTGCAACGTGTAGATATGTATAATATATATATTGAAAACATCATAGTAATTTTTTTATCCAGTCTTTGAATGTAGGTTATCTCCGATAATTTAGTCACTTTCTGTTTTCTTTCTCGTATCTATATTTGTATTTGCAATAAACTAAATATTCTACTATCGTATCTAATGCAGTTTATTAAATTGACCACTGCAGGAATTATGAACAGTCTTAAAATAAGCCGAAATAAATTTGACAACAATGTCAATATCACAGTCAAACTAAGAAGAAAACGAACTCTGCCCAGATTTGAAAAGATGTTACTTGGAATATAGAACCATAAATCCTTTTAATTTAAAAAAAAGACCGAAGCCAATTTATTTTTAAAGTGTCGTTCGTTCAATCAAATTGAAAAGCTTGCAGTCGTCCATCTTCAAACTGATTACATTACATTTTCTTATTAAGTGAGATTTATGTTTCCATAGAAAAATAATAATCCAGTTGTTGGAATTAATTGCAGAAATTTGTATTCCTAATGTATGTGCAGTGTAGGTAAATCTGGAAATACTTTCCATTTTGGTGAAAAATATTCTACGCAGAATAGATAAATCTCTGCTATTACAGGCCCAATCTTTCCTAGGGGGCAGTAGAGAGCAACGTGTGGACGCTGCAGCGAGCAGAACCGATACCAGTTTGTTTCCAGAGTCCAGTGATCAAATATCATCCTCCTTTACATACATGACTGTAAATAAAGACCCGGACTAAACATGATCTGTTGATCCTGCATATCGATGCTTGATCATTTAAGAAAGGATAACCTATCCTATCTTTAAGGTTTTTAGTGTTTTTTTAAGTTTTACCTGAAAGACAAAGCAAATGGTTAGTGACCAAATGAACGCAGAGGGTCTACATTCAAAGACTCTGTTCAGGCGGTCAATGACGCCAATCGGTGACGTTGATTCTGGGTTGGAGTTTTCCATTCAAGGAAAACGTGACCAGTGAACAGCTGAGCCAATCAGGAGCAGGCGACCGCCCACTGCTCATTAACTATAGCATTTGAATACTTAGTTGGTTCCTTTTTAGTCTTGAAGTTGAAATATTTTCAAAGTAACTCATCAGTTAAAATAAGTCATTAATGACTTATACATTATATAAGTATTTATTTTATATGGTATAACTATACATTATATCAACCAGTAATTTTTGTTTTGTTTTGTTTTTACAAATAACATGACAAAGTAAAGACAAAGTGACTAAATGATCGCAGATAATCTACAATCAAATACTTTGAAGAATATTTTAATGAAGACTTAGATTTCTATTTTGTTTTTACATTTCTTTATCATTTCTCTTTATCACATATCAAGTGAATATTAAACTTTAGTCACACGACTGATGGAGTTACCACAAAGACAAAATCAAGTTTCTGTCCACCTCCTCTTTCCTGATGTCGGAAATGTTCTTGTTTCTCCTGAGTCCTTGAGGCCAGAGTCCTTCAGGAACTGGTTCAACATCAGATGGTGCACTGTCCTCAGCCTCTGAAGGTTATCCAAGGGTGCAATGCTGTACAGAACCTCCTGAAGTCGGAGCCTTTATCACAGTATGGATTATGGGATTCCAAACATCCATACAAGGAACTTTACCTCCTCTTCTGATCTCTAAAATTCATGGACACAGATCAAGATGCAGAACTGTATGATATGGGAAACAATTTGAAACTGCTGGAAAACCCCTAATGGCTTGTTGGTTTTTTATGCTCTTCTTCTTCCTCCCAGCGTCAAGATGTAGGGCAGAAGGGGCAACAGTCTCTCAGATCCCTGCTGCTGGTAGCATTGTGACTGACATTTTTTAATTATGGTGTCAGTAAGTTCTGTCTATTGATGAGCCGCCAACACAAAAAGTTGGGGTAGATTTCAGCCGGGGCGTCTTGTCGTGGAAGTATGGCGCTGCACATTCTTCCTTGCCCAGATCAAGAAGACGCTGTGACAGAGTGCAGCTGGTTTGTTGTGGAGAGAGGTAATCAGCATTTGCATTTAAAAGCAGGTAGATCAGGGCATCAGATCCCAGGCTGATGATTCATCCAGAGGCACGTTTAACATGAAGCATGAATTGGGTTTGGAATGATTTCTGATGCCTCCAGTGATTGTTGCAGGAAACTCACTTCTGGAGAGGATGTGCAGAGCACCGCTCACTGTTTCACTATAGAGAAGGTCAAGGCAGTTTCTTATTATCTGGCATCTTGAGGTGCTTGTCTAACTCTTTTTCTTTTGTGTGCAGGTTGGCCTGCTACTGTTTCAGTTTTGGTTTTGTTTCAATTTCAGTGATGTATTAGTTTAGAATTTCTTTTCTGTTTTCTCTTTTCTTTGGTTTCTCTGTAAAACAAAAAGATGTCGCTGTCCCTGGGTCCCAAGCTGTTTTATCTAGATTGAGGAGACTATAGTGGAAGGGGAGTTTTGCTTTTAGTTGCTTCAGGATTATTGTGACTGTGTTTTTGTTGGGGAACACTCAAGTGTATTTAGTCATATTTGTGTTGTCTCTATTATTATTCCTCCCCCAAGCATTTCATAGGCTTTTGTGAGCTCAATAAACTGTTTAATTTGCAACGGTGCCTCTGGTAATGATTAAACTTATCTGTGTGATCATGTAAAAGGAGAATTTCAGGTTCTCCACACATACGGTCACATATAAAATTCATATTTATGTGATGAAGACGCTGTGAAGGACTTATTTTAACTGAGATGAGTCACTTTGAAAAATATTTCAACTTCAAGACTAAAAAGGAACCAACTAAGTATTCAAATGCCATAGTTAATGAGCAGTGGGCGGTCGCCTGCTCCTGATTGGCTCAGCTGTTCACTGGTCACGTTTTCCTTGAATGGAAAACTCCAACCCAGAATCAACGTCACCGATTGGCGTCATTGACCGCCTGAACAGAGTCTTTGAATGTAGACCCTCTGCGCTCATTTGGTCACTAACCATTTGCTTTGTCTTTCAGGTAAAAACTTAAAAAAACACTAAAAACCTTAAAGATAGGATAGGTTATCCTTTCTTAAATGATCAAGCATCGATATGCAGGATCAACAGATCATGTTTAGTCCGGGTCTTTATTTACAGTCATGTATGTAAAGGAGGATGATATTTGATCACTGGACTCTGGAAACAAACTCGTATCGGTTCTGCTCGCTGCAGCGTCCACACGTTGCTCTCTACTGCCCCCTAGGAAAGGTTGGGCCTGTAATAGCAGAGATTTATCTGTTCTGCGTAGAATATTTCACCAAAATGGAAAGTATTTCCAGATTTACCTACACTGCACATACATTAGGAATACACATTTCTGCAATTAATTACAACAACAGGATTATTATTTTTCTATGGAAACATAAATCTCACTTAATAAGAAAATGTAATGTAATCAGTTTGAAAATGGACGACTGCAAGCTTTTCAATTTGATTGAACGAACGACACTTTAAAAATAAAATGGCTTCGGTCTTTTTTTTAAATTAAAAGGATTTATGGTTCTATATTCCAAGTAAAATATTTTCAAATCTGGGCAGAGTTCGTTTTCTTCTTAGATTGACTGTGACATTGACATTGTTGTCAAATTTATTTCGGCTTATTTTAAGACTGTTCATAATTCCTGCAGTGGGTCAATTTAATAAACTGCATTAGATACGATAGTAGAATATTTAGTTTATTGCAAATACAAATATAGATACGAGAAAGAAAAGAGAAAGTGACTAAATTATCGGAGATAACCTACATTCAAAGACTGGATAAAAAAATTACTATGATGTTTTCAATATATATATTTATACATATCTACACGTTGCAGTAGAACAGTGTTTTTCAAACTAGTGTCCCGTGGAAATTATTCAATTTCACTAAATTGGTCTAAAACGATTTTTTGAAAACAGATGACTGCAAATAATATGCCATTTCCGAGAGTCTGTGTTGTATAGTGACTAGCGGCGTCATCATGTAATTTCCTGATGACAGGATGGCAGTAGGTACACAGCACTGTACGTTAAAACAAGAGAATTAGTGATGCATGAATGTGACAGGAAGCGGTGAGAGCATTGTACCAAGCAAGACTGTGATGACAGTGATGGAAAAGTTTTTGAAAAGAAAAAAGCTAA